CAGGTTTTGCCTGCCTGAGTTTGCTTTCACTTCACCATTTTGCTAAAAGACAACAAGCAAACAGACAAACAAAAGAAAAAAGAGCCTTTCTGATATTACCCAGTATGACAAAAGAACAAACCCAGACATTAACAGAGGTGATGTGTGAGTCCTGATGGGCACATGGGTTTACAGATGCACAAGCTCTTCCATCCATCACAACCATTGTATAAAGAAAATATTTTCTGGGCTGAGAAACAAGATGCTGAGAGAAGGCCTGAGCTGAAACAAAGTCTTTCTCATCCCGGCTATTTGATCTTCTTGAGATGAAATGAAATATTGAGTTACACTATCCTTTTTAGACAGCAAATCCTCACATATTTGGATCATGAAATTCGAGCTGCTCTGCTCCTTCAGACTGCTTTTTCATTCTCTGCATTATTCTTGCTGTGTCCTGGCTGTCTTTTTGATTTCTGTTTCTTAAGAATGGGGCTGTGCTGTGCAAGGCTGTCAGGTTAGCAGCATTGCTGTAAGCCCATAACCAAAAGACAGCTAAAAGGTGTCAAGCAAGCTGATGCTGGTACATGCTATGCAGATCTTGGGATCATCTAAAAATATTATTTTTTTTAAATCTTTCTGTGTAGGCATTTTTCCTACCACGGAAGAAACTGCATGTCTTTAAGAGACCCAATGCAACAAATGAAAGCTATGTTTCGCCTGTTCTGTTGTTCTTTTGTCATCCCACCTTCTTTGCAAACTACCTTGAACTCAAACATTGTATTTTGTCTAGGGACAAGCAGGCTCTGACTTTCAAAGCTGTCACAAAATGGTTTCAGCCCATCTCCTCTATCCTTTCCCAGAGTTCTCATTATTCAGTACAAGTTTACTTGCTCTCGCAGAGATTTCACGAGACCAGTGTTCACAAAGAAGAATTTTAGTGCAGCTGAGTTGAATTTGCAAGGGGTAGACTGTGGGTGCTATTTAGATTGTTCACCTCTGAGAAGAGCATTCAGAAGCATGGGACTTTGGGGCTTTGAGGTTGTTTTTTTTACATGTTGTATTTTTGGAAAATAAAATGCTGTTTTCTGCTTTTCTCAGTCTTAGCACTTCAGAAGCCTGCCTTCCGTAGTTTACTCCCTCGGGCTCTGTTCCTACTACCTACCTCACATAGACATGTCAATGGACCAGGTTTGATATATCTGGCTCTTCCAGATTTAGAGCCCTGAAAGAAAACTGTCATGCTGCATTTGACTATCCTCTGTCTGTGTGTGCCATGATCCCCCAAGGCTTCCACCTCTAGCAAGCTGTCTGTCACCTTGCCAATTATTTTCCCAGATTTGTTTCAGCAACCCCAGCTGCCTTTCTGCCAGGTAAATTCTTCCATTACTTATGTGCTGCTAAACAAACCAAACGCCCCGAACGTCTTTAACAAACACATAACTATCTGGCCAGGATCCCACCTCACCTCATTCCACAGATAATCACCGCCCTCTTCTGCAACCTCATTTTCTGGATTTGCAGTGGTAAAGAATGCGCATTTCAAAGCCATGAGAGCCTCAGCTTGGTAGGTCTATTACTCACTGCGCCTGTCCTAACATAGCAGGCAACTACCAAGTCATGGTTCAGGCTGGGAAAAGACCCTTCACCAGGTGAGTCTCAAGCACAGCATTTATTCAACTGCTGAGGAAGCTGCAGGTAGAGCTACAGGAGCAGCGTGGTAGCATTCAGGCTCTTCATAGTGCTACAGGTAATGCCAGAATTGCCTTCTGTGCTGCACATCAGCTTCCAAAAACTCTTGCCAAGCAAGGAACAAGAACTAAGGGCTCGTGCTGGTACCCATTTTGAGAAAGTTATCTGGAGAACAGCATAGGAGCTGGCGAGCTTGAGAGCCACTTTCACTGGGGGAGAGCTTCCTGGTTTCCCCAAAGTGTCCATGTCTCAGAGCCCACAGGAGCTGATCCAGATGCTCTGGGGTAGTTAACCAACAGGTAGTAAGTGGAGTAAGATACAGCCCAAGAACAGATGTGTGCTGCAAACTACACCTGATTCAACATGAACACAGACATACTGTCCAGCTGATGCACATAGAACACAGGTTTAATTATCCACAGTTTGATTATCCGGTGTTGACACGGTTTTTATGACTAAGTCACCCTTGAGACGCTCAGAATCTGGAAATCCCAACCACAGATAAAAATTTCCTTGCAGCTACATAAAGTCACAGTATTTTTCAGACAAACTTTGGCTTAGATTTTTGAGCATTTTTAAATTATCAGGCTTGCAGTGCATTTTACAAGGAGAGTGAAGTCTTAAAGCATAAATCATTGACTTAAAGGAAAACAACTGTGCAACAATATTACAAGATATACAGAACAGGATGCACTTGGATTCCAGTTTCTGTTCATTGACTCACCAGAGAAAAGGATCATAAATCAGAAATAGAGAATGGAAATCAAAGAAAAGTAACAGGAAGTGTCAAAATGAAAACCTGGCAGAAATTACCAATAGGAGGAAAAAAAAAAGACTCCAGATGTTTTTTTAAAAAATAAAAACCTGGGAAAGATTCAGTGAACAAAAGATCTACAGGCAGAAAAGAAAAAATGATACCTTGGGTGGGGGGCTTCTCCTCTTTCTTTCTCACACACAAGCCAGGTCTAGTGAGGCAAGAAAATACGTATCTACTAAGAAGATGAGGGAGGTGAAGGGGGGAAAGAGACATATAAACATCACCTTCCCTCTTTTCTTCCTATGAAGCACAGCTCTGGAAACTCTGATCCTAGAAAGATTTCAATCGGGCTAACAATTCAAAAGGTTCATTAAATCCAGGATTATTACCACGGCAGAACTTGACCGGAGCAGCCAGGCTGCAACGTTTAAGGGGCTCCTTATTCACACATACCCACAGGCTGCCGCGCTCGCAGTCCCGTGGCGAGGAGCGTGTGAGTCCCAGCCCTGCACAGCACCGAGCTTTTTCCGCTGGGGCCGCCTGCCAGCTTTCGCACAGCTGCTTCTCGGGACCCTTCTGGGACAATGATTGCTTTATCAGGTGCATCGGAGGTGAGCAATGCTGGAGCCATTAGGCATGATGTCTCACGGAGTCGTAGTCCAAGCTGTCCTGGAGGTTGCGTCTTTCTGTCCCACATGCCGTGCCATAACTCCAACCAGCGCACTATTCTTAAATCAATCTTCTGAAGACCTTAAAAAAAAAATCCAGCTCCATTTCCCATACCTCCTTTGTGATGTGAGATGTTCTCACCACTTCCCCATGTGTGTGCCACATTTAATCCAACAATGGCCCTAAATTTTAATAGTTGTGGGGGTAAGGTACTCTAAATCTTTCCTCCAAAACACAACTCCAGCCAACATTAATCTATTCACTGAGGGAATTCATTTGCAGACTAGTACTCAGAAAGACAAAGTCATTAACTGATCCATATTTAATTTCTTAAAGAATCAAGCTTAGTCATTAGTCTCCTGAATCAAGAATACATTACATTTTTATTCATACATCATTTCAGGGTAATTTTACCAACTGGTATGTATTTGTATCATGCTGTTACTAAACTACAGCGTATTATTGTAAACTCATGTTCAAGCCACTTAATGCAGGAATGGCTACAAGCTTAAGGCCATCATTAAAAAATCCCCAACAAAACACCAAAACCAACCAACCAACCCGGCCCACCTCAGTCAAATCAAGCACCTTTCTCCCCTCACCCCTCCAGCATATGTTACCAGTTTTATGACTTTCTGAACAACACTCATAAATCATAGGGCCACGAAGATGATCCAAGGGCTGGAGCACCTCTGCTATGAAGACAAGCTGAGAGAGTTGGGGCTGTTCAGCCTGGAGAAGAGAAGGCTCCAGGGTGATTTTATAGCAACTTTCCAGTACCTAAAGGGGACCTACAGGAAAGCTGGAGAGGGACTTTTTACAAGGGTGTGTAGTGATAGGACAAGGGGCAATGGATTTAAACTGAAAGAGGGCAGATTTCGATTGGATCTAAGGAAGAAATTTTTTACATTGAGGGTGGTGAGGCACTGGAACAGGTTGCCCAAAGAAGCTGTGGATGCCCCATCCCTGGAAGTGTTCAAGGCCCGGTTGGATGAGGCTTTGGGCAACCTGGTGTAGTGGAGGACTTCTCTGCCCATGGCAGGGCGGTTGGAACTAGATGATCTTTAAGGTCCCTTCCAACCCTAACCATTCTATGATTTTATGATACAGTAAAATGAAGAAACCTTCAGTCCTAGCACGTTTCATACAAAAATAACCTTGCGTTTTAAGGAACCAAAATATCCCCTATTATTAACAGAAAATGTGTGCTGACCCAACAACAGCAATTTGCATCTGAAAGGCTTATTACCTTTCAAAAATAGAGCTTCCTCTCTCAGACCAGAGAGAGAGACTGATATGCTTTCCTACCTAAGAGCTCCAGTTGCTATAATTCAAGATTATGTAGCCAGGATACATTTTATTTGTGTTTCATTTAAGCACAGAGCACAGAGCTTTTCCACAAAATTAAGTACTCTTCTGCTTTCTAAACAGATTTGTCTACTTAGTGCTGTTCCACTGCAATCACATGTATTCAGACATGAAGAATTGGGAAAAAACACTTGCTATATACACCAGTCCAGATTACATGCACTTATATGTGAACGATGCACTGAAAAGTTACAATCCATCTGACCAAAAGATTTCTAAAAGGAAAATAATGATTTTCTGTGTATTGTTATAGCATCCACTGCTCTGAGGTGAAAAACAAACATGCTTAGAGATAAAGACAATGACAATGGATGCACTATTGTTTGAAATCCTTAGCAAAGCAGACATCAAAAGTAATACTAGGTCTGTTTACGCATTAGTTATTTTCCTGAATAATGCTACAGAGCTTTTTAATTATTCCATAATCCTCAAGATGTTGTTGGGGCTCAGAATCACCTCAAATTTGAGACACATCAGAAAGGCCACAGAAGACAAGAGAGACATTCTTTGGTATTTTTGGCATTCTACTGCCTTGCGATGATACTTAAACCTCAATTTTAAGTCTTGCAAATCTGTACTGTAAAGATGCCGGAGTTCTTAACAAAACGAGCCCTTTTTTATCTGCTGGCTGGTTGTGTAACATGTAAAGTAACCCTGACAAGCTAACGAAACCCAGTGCTTCTCCACAGCCCACAGCCAATGAAAAATCCCCTCGAGTGACATATCCCAAGAGAGTTCTGGAGCAGTGGGAAGTAACATCTGGGAGAGCATCTGACCAAAGACCAAGAATGAGCTCTTCATGCTCCTCAGTTGTTCCTTTATCTGGAACGCTTGGAGGGTCACTTTCTAGAGCCTTCGTGTTATCCTTTTTCTTCTTCTTCTCCTCTTTCAGCTTCTGTACCTTGTACTTGAATATGTCACGATGTTTGGGTTCTTGAGGTCCACAGAAGAGTCTGTCTTTGCTTAGATGCAGCAAGTCGTCTTCTGTTGGGATGCAAATCATGGCATGTAATTCGGGGTTCCCCTTTTTCAAGAGAGACAAGCTGACCCATACGAGAGCCCTTGGATAGCTCATCAAAATTGGCAAAAACACATCTTCAGTCATTTCCTTCTGTCCGAGTCGAGAAACAAGGCGGACTCGCCGATCTTTTCCAGCAGTGGGATAGCACCAGGCTGATACCTGCATTAGTAGTTTCTCACTCCTGTTAAATTTTTTTAAAAATAAACATCAAGGATAGTTATTAACAAGTAGTACAACAGAAATCCAGTGCCCTGCATATTTGCAAGAGCACAATTAGAAAAAGCTCTGGGGCCTTCTGTAACCTTCCAAGGTGGTATTTGTATCACTCTGAGCACAAAAAGAACATGAGTGAGTAGAATTCATGTGTGAGGCTATTTCTTCAGAAGGAGACATTACTTGCTAAAACCCCCAAAACTCGTTAAATCATAAATGCTCTAAAACCTTCAGTCACATTAATGCAGTCCAGAACTGCCAATGCTTTCTTCCTCTGCTAAGTACATAAAAATGACAGAGCTGCATTCAGGCACTTTCCAAACACTGTTGCTGCCCTCATGTGTTGCACTGGAATGCAGGGGACTCTCTATTTTCTTTATAGACCTGATTAAGTAGTGCAAGAACCACCTGTGATGATGTATTAGAAAACAGAATGGAAGCTGATTTACACATCAATAGTTTTAAAATCACAAATATGAGCCTCTAAAAGCTTCATCCACCTGGAAGCAGACAGAATATGCCAACTGCAAGAACACGCTAAACTCGAGAGTGTTAAATTTAAGCTAATTTAAGAAATTCACTTCATCTAGTTATCAAGTTTGCTGGGGTAAAGCAGGAGGAGGACTTCCACTCAACAGCAAATTCTGATCCACAACAAAACTATTTAATCTCCTCACCGTATTTGGATCAAATAATCCTCTCATCTTAATAATCAAGGCTGAGCTCTTCCTTTCCCCAGTTCAATAATTCCCAATACAGAAATAACACCTCACATGCATATATAATTTTGACGTACCTGAGAACAACAAAGTCACTTGTCATAGTTTCATCTCTCTCACCAAATTCTTGGATGCCTGTAACATTCTCCGTCTTTCGGACACCTTCAGAGCTTGTTATTTCCATGGTCTCCTCTCCCTCATCAGTCGCAGGGGAAGCTTCTTTGACCACTTCTGCTTTGGGGTCACAAAAGCTATGCCCTTTAGTTGCACAGTGCTCAGGGTGTGGGGAAGAAGGATGTACAAATTCTCCCGAAGCTTTCATTCTTTCTTCCCAGTTCTTTGCCAGCTGCCCCCAAGGACAGACAAAAGGGGACAGAGTGCCCAGCTTGACATAGTTTGCCCTTTTCGCAGGTGGACGTCTAAATGATAAATCAAGTAGGTAAGAACATTTGTTTCCTAGGCCCTTATGGAGTCCCTAGCACTTCAAAATGCTGTATACTTTGTCCTGCTGGTCTAACAATGTTTTCTGGTTTCAAAACCAAGAAAATTAACTGTGTGTTCCCTTTGTAATTTCATTGAGACAGAATTTTAAAGTTATACTTCTAGACAACACTGCTGTATTTCTGACCACCATATCCTTTCAGCCATGCTGCATATTTTTATCTACTGTGACTGGCATTATCACGTTTTCCTCTGATCTTCTCCTCCTTCCCACGCCTATCTGGAAGGGGAACCAACATCAGTTGGTGCAGAGGACACTTCCAGCTAACCCATACTCATGGTTAAGAGTTCTGTGTTTATTGTAGTGAAAACGAAGGCAAACTTCAGAATATCTGATATTTACACAGTGGACACTGAAATATACCTCTTCATTCACTTTGTTCTTTAACATTTAGCACATACTTTGATATTCTGCCTTTGCCTTCTACGTCCTCCCTCATTTGCTGCTAAGGGAGCTTGAAATAGCTTTGTTTATTTCATTGTTATGCAGCCTTGTTTACAGCCTTCTAACTGAGCACATCTCTGGGAATAGAAGGTTTTAGTTAATTTATATGCCCTATTTAGCAGAGCTTTTCTGATAAATACATCTAGGATTCTTTTCTTTTTTATAACACTAGGATTTAAAACACTAGCGAAAGATAATAAAAGTCAAGTCTAAATGAACACAACAACAGATAATTAAGGGAATATTTTCAGCAGTATTCATATTTTTCATTCTTGCAATCAATTTTGAAGTTAATATTACCGTTTGAATTTTTCAAGAAGACTCATTTCCAGTTCTTTGGCAAACTGCACTCCCGCCTGGCAGTCTGGGAAATCATTTGGAATGTGAGGTGTTCTTTGATATTCAGAATGCTTTAAAGCCTCTTGCAAGCCACCGACTCGTACGCCTCGATATATCTGGTATGAAAACCAAAACCCCAAAAACCAATGTTTGCACTGACTCCAAGTTCCTAATTGAAACAAAACTTTAATGCTCCAGAAGCTACTGCCTTAGAAAATGGAAAGTCTATCACTTTAGCTTTCAAAAAAACAAACTTAAGTATAATTTTCACAGTTCTAGGTGATTTCAACAAAAATGTTATTCATATTCTTTAATTCTGAAAAGCTATCCACAAAACTGAAGGGAATTTCACAGGTTCTGATCTTATACATTGCCAGGAATGTCATATTACTTCGACAAAGTCACTGCCCAAATTATTTTAACTGAACAATAGGTATCACTGCAGTTAATTCCCCTGCACATTCAAAAGCATAAATTTAACTGCAGAAAGATATTAAAACTGCCATCTAAACATTCAAAGCAGGATGCTCCAAACAGCACCAGAGTAGTATTCAAGCTCAACTCAAACTTTGCGTTTCAAGCTCCTTCCCAAATCATAGGCAACCAATTTGTTGACAGAGTGGTGGAGACAGTCAAGCTGGAAATGGATTAGCAGCAGACACCAAATGATTTCTCTTTTAGAGGCATATGCCCTTAAAAACACAAAACCAAAGAGCTATAGCATCAGTTTTCTCTCCTTATTCCCCACTCTGATCTCCTGCCTTAGACTGCCACATGGGCACAGTTATATCCAAGAGAAGGTATGGAAAGCTATTGTTCTATTTTTAAGATTTTAAGACCAAGCCTCTGTCATCAATGAGGTCATATGCCCTCTTTTAAAGTGGGATTTTGATCATGTAATTGTGAACTGTCTACACAACGTGAAGTATACGCTCTACAATCAATTATTTTTGAACAAAACTTGCAATTTGCAATGAAAGGCACTTACAAAAGGAATCCAGAAAGCCATGCCCCAGCCCTTTGGGAGATAGATATCCCAGCCACTTCCCCATCCTGGTAGATCTTCTCCAGCCATTTTCCCTGGTTGCTGCACCAACAGTATGGGAATCTTAGACTCAGAAGGACCCAAATCCAGGTGTGATCCAGGTACCAGTAACTGAGCTCTCATATGGTTTAAATCCTGAGAGAGAGGAGACATTTCCCGTAAGTTAGTAACCATTTTTTCCTCTTCCTGATATCCTTCCAAGATACAGAGAGGTGAGCTTATTACTTGAAAAAATATACTAGCAACATCCTACATACGTGAAGAGACCCTCACTGAGGCATGAAAAACGTTTTTAGAAAAAAGTACTAAGCACGCTTTTTCTTACTTCCACAGACTTTGATGGAGGGCAGCTACTGAAACTCAGAGCAACAATGTACAGCACAGATGAAGGAGGGAAAAAGCAGCATTGCAACTTGATATTTACAGATCTGTGCACAAGACTAGACTGAACAGGTGCTTTCAGACAGTCTGTCAATACACGGAGCAAATCTGAACTACATCCAGGGAGATGGGAGGAACATTTGGTCACAAAACAGTTTCACATGAAGCATGCCGGCACCAAGGCTTTGTCAATCACTAGTTGCATTTCATTTAGCTGGCTGGGCTAAACCATAACACAGATTAAGAATACATTTATAAAAAAACAGATCATCAGATTGCCTTTGTACATGTCCCTTCTGCATCAGCTGAAGGGTAAACATCACATTTATAAGTTAAACATCGCATTTCATGACAGCATGAAGAATGTTGTCAAATACAAAAAGATTGTGCTGATAACTGTTATGCACTAGTGTAGTATCTTGTAAGCACTCTGCCTTTTTATACTATGCCAATCAATTGGAAAGAGCACAAAACTAATTTTCATAATGAGAATATTTAGAGAGATGTTTCTGCCATGCAAATATTTTCTGATTACAATGGTGCTGAAAGTTTATCATGTCTTGTGACTAAATCACCTTTTTACCTATGCATTTTATGGGTTGCTCCTCCACTGCCAACAAAAACGTCAAGATAGATTTCAAACCTATAAGAGCAAATTTAAAACTGTCTACAAACCACAGGTATTGCCCAGAATGCCCACAACACAGTGTGCTGCAGTTCAGAACCAGAGAGATTTACTTCCTTCCAACTTCCATGATTCTTTTGTCAGGAGAATCATACTGGCTATGACTGAGTGAATGGTCAAAGCCTCTCTGTGCCACTTCATCCCTTTTATCTGCTGCACATTAGTCGAGGTCATGTAGGAAAATCCAATTCCAAACTCTTCTGACAAATAAACCTACAACTATCTAGTCCTGTAGACAATCCAATAAAGCTTTCTTTTAATTGAATCATGAACAATGGTTGTGCAAGAACATCACACAACAGCTAGAAAATAAACACGTGGACTCAGCAGCTGGATACTATGACATTAGGAAACTACTGATCTGGATTTATACAAGTTTCAAGAGTTTCGCTCTATGGACTCTATGGACCATTAGCCATTTTCTCCATGGCAATACACTTTGTTAGTTACCTGCTCCGAGATTTTATTTTCAGTGACGTTCTTACAGATGTCCTGGTCCCAGATAAAGCTGTGAGCACAGTCTACAGGCACTCCCTCCAGGTACAGCTGCCTAACTTTATCATTATCTACAAAAGAAGAGAACCCTCAAACAAAATTCTAACAATGTTTGCGGCTTAAGCATCAAATTACCCAAATCACTCCACTATCCTAAGTACAATGAGCAGACGTCTAAGGAAACAGACTATTAAAAACTTAACCATCACTGCTTCTGGAATATCTTACTATTATATGTTTTTCCAAATATAAAACATGAAACAAACTGTTAGTTTAGAAGCATTAACCTGGCATTCTCTTACAAACAGGCATTTCTTACTACAAATGACATCACCTTTGGCAGTGCAAGTTACATCTTTAGCATGCCACCTTTAATATTCTGGAATCTGACCTTTCAGGCAGTATGACGCTCAACAGGTTTGGTGAAAATCAGAAAGAGCAACATTATGAAGCCTGAAATAAGTCCACCTAAGTAAACTTGTAAGAGAAGCGAGGGTCATCTTTGAGAAATGTACATACAGGAAGTATTTTTATGGCTATGACTAGCATGCAACTACTTATTTAGCACTAGATTCCCACTCTGGATCTTTTCAGGCTCTGCACTTCAAGGAAGGGACAATTCTTTATTATGTCTGAACAGACAAACAGTTGTGTGCATTTCTGAAGATAAATAAGACTTCTAGCTTCAAAATTTATCACTGAGGTATTCAATAACCTATCTCTTCTTCAGCTCAGCAATCTAACCAAAGCAGAGAAAATGTATACCTACCTTTAGTGATCTATGGATTCCAAGCCTTCAGCGTACAGTGTGTAATGCATGCTGATCCATATTTTAAATAAAATAATTCTTACAAACAATACAATGAACCTATTAATCGTTCTGTTATTGAAACTTACAGGGACTGCTGCTCATTTTGTCATCTATAAGGTATTACATATGAAAGGAACATAACGTGTTGGGTTTTGCTTTTTAAATCACTTAGTCTTTCAAAAGAAGATTCAGCTCATTTTTCCAGTTATGTTGACAAAAGATTTTGAGCACAGAAGATACGCATTATTCAGTGGTACTAACAATACAATAGGTACTGCTAAGCATAATTGCAATAATTATTTATTTAAAAGCTATAATCTTCAAGATGTCCCCAGTTCGATAGTGCTAAGCTGATACTTGCTATGCATTCTTGCTGATGAGTTACATTTGTGTGAGAGGAAGAAATACTAAAAAAAAATTATCAGATGAGGGTGGCATTTCTTCAAATTAAGAATGATGCCACTAAAAAGGAAATCCTTGCCAATTCCCTGCCAATCAAGCCAGAAGAATTCCTTCTCAGACAAAAAATTAAGAACAGGAACCTGAGCAGGAACCTAAAAGACCTCAGTACTCCTAGAGGCAAAGCAGATTCTGTCTGGAGATACAGCAAATATCAATGCCTCAAAGGAAGGAGAAAAAGACAGCCACAAAAGTCGGATGAGGCTTTGAGCAACCTGCTGTAGTGGAGGATGTCCCTGCCCATGGCAGAGGGACTTTGAGGTCCCTTCCAATCCAAACCATTCTATGATTCTATAAAACCGTGTGTAGTGGTGGTGGGAAATTCCTTCCTGACTCTTAAGACAACTAAGGGGGAAGGGCACATAATTGCAAGAAAAAATAGGGTAAGGAAAGCGACTTTTCCATCTTCTGTACAGAAAGCACTCGTGAACACCAGAATCTCTTCATGTTAAATAATTTAAACATTTTCTAGTTCATTCAACTGTACATTATTCACTGCAACTTTCTCTGATTTTTTTTTTTTACTTCTTCTTTCTATTACCACAATTTAGGCAGTCTATCCCTGTCATATTCTTGGAGTTCCTGAAAATTCCTATATAATGGAATTTATATAGATTTCCTATACAGGAATTTATATGATTCCTATAATGGCATGAGTAATTTTTTTTTCCACTTTAGAAAGCTCTCTTAAATCAGTTTCTTTCCATCACTACAGTCCATCCAATATCCCCCTTACTAGCATAAAATATCCTCCTCTAACTTGGTACATTCTTTCTCCTTGATCCCCACTGTATTTGGAGAATTTAACCTCTCTACTAAGCATACTATAATTCAAATCATAATCCTAAATCCTCATACCAGTTCTCTTTATTTCTTACCTCTCTCCTGTTTTCTTCAGTCCACATTTTAAGATTGCTGGGGAAATAACCCTACTGAAGAGTAAGTTGTTGATGACAGTGGAAATAAGACTTTAAAACTAGTATAGGAAATAGGGAGTTGTATTACTAAGCACACAAAGCTCAGTGACAATCAGTACATTATCTACTTCTGCTGGTGTTAATGGTTGGTGTTTAGACAATACAGGCAGATAGAGGAAGGTTTTCTTCCATTTCAAGCTGTTGTTCTGATTTCTGTCGTTGATTATCTTAACAGTCTTAGAACAGGTCTAAGAGTAAGAGCGCTTCTATTTGAAATGTTTCCTTCCCTCTGTGAGGAAAGAACAGAAAAAGCAAAAACATAAGCGCTGCTAGGGAGCAGTTTCAGAGCTGTATGTACGTAGGGGTGGATGGTACCAGGACAACTGATGCCAGATAGCTAAACTTCTGCAGGAGATGTGTTTACAGGCAAGGACTCAGGCGCTGTGCCTGCAGAAGGAACTTTAGCTCACTTAATCTTTCATTACGCGCTCTCCTTTTACACATCTCATTCACCGACTGTTTAAAATCTCCACCATACTCCATGTTGAGCAGCTTTTAAGGCAGTGGAATTTGTATTCTCCCACAGAAGACAGGAAAAGCATATCAAAAGGTCAGAAGCACACTTTAAAATGGAGGAAAAAACAGCACTAATTTGCAGTTATGTAAGCACTGACAGCTTACTGGGAGTCTTGACTTCCAGAAGGCATAAACCTGCTGAGAAGTCACTGAAAAGTGATTTATCCGTAAACTTTCTATCCTCCAGCCTGAAGAAACAAGGGCAGTTCTTTGATTAAACCCCATCAGCACGTGTCTATAACACACAGCTTGCACACATGTATATGCATTCAGGAGTGAGAGCAACTGGGAAAGACTGAAACTACCTTTGATTTGTTAGCATGTCACTCACAGGGGAAAAAACTACACAGGCATATCTTAGAACAGCATTTGGGAAAAAAAGGGATATAGGCAGATGCATATAATTTCACAGATTGCATATATGACAATCCACAAGCAAAAACGATGGCTGTAACTTACCTAAACTATTCACTCATTTGACAAACAATGCATCTTTGAATTAGTAAACATTTGCTAAGAAAATCAGTTAGCTTTCATACAACTAGTTACAATCAGTTAGCATACAACATTAAAGAACAAGCGAGGCTAAAGCACATACAGAATCTGCCAACATACGCAGTGCCATTTCAATCTTACTAATACTAATCATAATAGTATTCAAATGTCTAGGACGCAAAAAGGGGGGGGAAAAAGGTTGTGGAATACAGCAAGGGTTCCTTTTTATTGCTCAATCAACATGATACGTCATTAAGGGAAACGAATGACTACGGACATTTCTTAAGTAAAGATCAGCTCGCTGTATTACCTCATCTGAGTAAGGTTACATCAAAACCAAGGTTCAGAAAGTTTATGTAGTCCTAAGGCTCACAAAAAGACTTCTTACAGAAGGGGCAAATTAATATTGTTTAAATGGAATTACAGATCTTAGAGAAGTCTCTTTTTTTCGGGTGGATGTTACTGTGGAAGTATTGGTAATAGTATTGCTGTAGCGATGTATACCATGCGCCATGATTAAATTCTTTCCTTTTTTGGTTAAAAAAAAATACCCTGCAAAAAACTGAAAAGGAGGATAGCCTCCATTCCTGGGTCACTCCTGGCAAAAGAACCAGTAGAACGAGCAGACAGAACCGGTCGGAAAAATGCTGGCAGAAGAGCTAAATTCAACTAGAATATTCTTCGGTAATATGTTGCTTTTGATGGAATTCTTGCTCGGTATGTCAGTAATCTGACTTCAAGCATGGCCAATAACGGGTCCCAGGGAAGAATACACCACTAGAATCAGTATGTAGTGTTGCATTTCCTCACTCCACCAGTTCCTAGCCACTTGTGACTCACAGACTTCTTCAGTTAGAGGTGATCCTTTTGAACTGAGTGGCCTTCAATAGGTTCTCCTTCATATATTTAACTGCTTTTTTAACTCCTGCAAACCTGCCAGGCTCATAGGAAAAAGGAATAAATCTAACTTGTGTATAGAGGCAGTGAAATATGCAACGAGATCCCATGCTCCAAGGAGATTACAAACTAAGCTGACAGAATTCAGGAAGACATTATAATGGCTCCTGAAACAGTAAATAGTGACAAGAAAGCATAATGCTTGCATAGAGAGAACCAATTAGACATAAAATGCATTCTGCATAATAACTGATTATGTCTAGGCTTCCTTTTATTAATACATATGCAATTCTACTTTTTCTTTCAAAAATACCAAGAGATAAACGCACTTGAATACCTTCCCGACTAGAAAACTATAAAAGTATCTGATCTTAGAATAATCTAACACAGATTAATTTTCTAGAAGTATTTAAAAAATGTAACTCCTCTGCTTTTAACTACTTGAACAAGGAGGCCCATTAAGGCAGAGATATAGCACAGGTAGTAGCCATCATATAGGCAACTACAAAATTAAGTTAGGAACAACAGTCTGAAGAGTAACAATAGCCTCTCTTTCCAACTAACACCTAGGAATACTCAATGAAGGAGACAGAATAGTGGCAGTTGGGCCTCAGTCTTGAGTTTTTCAGCTAGGAGAGATGAACTGTCATGCCATAGGATTCCCTCACTGCACATGTAATAGGTATGAGGAGATTGAGAGTCATTCTGTAACTCTTCCCACACGGCATTAGGAAGTCATTCAGGTGGGAAATGTGGCCAACAGCAGCCGCTTTCGCTGCTGAACCATTAGCTCTCCGTATTCTCTCCTTAACTGCTTCTTGTAGAAAGGCTGGCCTCTCCTTTTCTACTCCCTTACAACAATGTCCTTTTGATTTTCTACTAGAAGACAGCTGTATTGTCTGTCTTCTTTCATTCTTCTTCTGCCTACTCAATTTATTTAGTAGTGATGTGCTTGTATAACACCAAGTCCTTTAGGAGAACCTAAATTAGAAGATATCATAGTCTACCTTTCCTTGCTAGCTGATCAAGGACCTTCCCCCTCTCCTGAATAAAAGTCAGAGAGGACAGATGCAGTTTTAAGTTCATGATGAAACAAAAAAACACTCAGAAAGGAACCAGAAAACAACATCAGATTTTCTGAATGTTTGTGATTTAGACGATTTTTTGCAAGTGAAGGATAAACCCAATAGAAAGATCTTGAAGATGGCCATTTCTAGCCAGCCAAAGGTAAAAAAGGCTTAAGTATTTTCTTCCTCTTGACTCCATACCTTATGTCATTACCTCTTTACCCCGGCCCTCCTTCTTGTGGGACAAGCAGCTCTGGCCATGGAAGAGAAAATACTATAAGACATTTCCAATGCCTAGATGCCTTCTGCTGATCTTGCCTTCTTGAACACATCTTCATAGACATGACAAGCAGAATGAAGGGGGCCGAATTACTTCTTGCTAACTCCTTTACCAGCTCAAACCAGTATCTGTA